ATGGGTTTTAATTATATTAAATGCAAGATAATGCATGTGGGTTATCATAATTTGTATTATAAGTATAATTTCAATGGGAAAACCTTAACAGTGTCATGAAAGAAAGGAATCTTGGTGTAATAGTCGATCAGTCTCTAAAGTCATCCAAGCAATGTACTGTTGCTAGTGGTAGGGCAAATAAGATTTTAGGTTGTATCTACAGAAATATTGAATACAAGTCTAAAGGGGTATAATTTCATTGTATATGTTGCTGGTTAGGCTGGTTTGGAATATTGTATTCAGTCATGGGCTCCTTACTTTAGGAAAGACATTGAATTGTTGATAGGATTCAGAGAAGGGTTACTAGAATGGTATCTGGGATGCAGGGATTGTCATATGAGGAGAGGTTAAAATCTCTCAAATTGTTTTTCTCTTGAAAAAAAGAAGAGTTCGGGGGGGGGGTCTGATTGAGGTGTTTAAGATTGTTATGGGAATTGACAGTGTTGATGCATCATCTGTGTTCACACTTAACAGTGACAATAGTAGGACTAGGGGACACAAGTATAAATTTTGGCAGGGTAGAAGTCATCTTCAGCTAAGACAGTTTTATTTTTCTAACATGGTGGTTGGCCTTTGAAATGAGTTGTGGAGGTAGTAAATTTTAGTTTAAAAGAAAGCTTGATAAGTATATGATTGATAAGGGCTGGCTTTAATATTTTTTTTACTATATTTATTAATAGTTTTAGTTTAGTTTAGAGGATGGCGCAGTCAAGATGGACCAATAGGACCCATATTATCCCAAAATGATACATGTGTTTTCTGGATTACAATAAAATATACATAAATGCTTTTTCTGATTTCTCTTAATGTTACCAACTTTCTTACTGAATGTGACAATGTATTCAAGTTTACACCAGACAATATTATTATTAATTCATCTACTTAGTTTAAGCTAACATTTATTTACTACTTTTAGCTGCTTCCTTTGCATGATGATCTCTCTAAACCATCTATGTGAGGAATGATAGATTTTGCCAAACATTATGTCCAATGTCCTTAAGTAATCATTATCTTTTCCTCACCATGTGAGATGAAAGCCTGATAACTTATATCTTACTGGCGTTAACTAATGGTAATATTTTACATCCATAACAAGATTTTTGATGTATATTTTAATGTAGTGTGTGGTTGTGCTTCATTGTGTTTTAGAAATCATGATACATAGTGCTAAAGTAATTCTCAATGAATACAGGAGATTTTAGGTTCACGATACATTAACACATCAGGTTAACCTAAAATCAACAGTTTAACACTTACTCAGAAAAAAAAGTAAGGATGGCACAATGTGCACCTACAAATTTGTAGTTATGACTTTACTGTTGCTTTTAAGAATAAAATAAATTTATTTGTGTAATAAATAAGTGTTGTTTCAGATTAAATAGACATACCTTTTAAATAATCATTATGATCAAATTCTTAAAGAAAAATAATATTTACTCAAAGGGTAAAAATTGAAGTTAAAACACTTAATAATCTCACAAAAATAACTTATGCAAAATTATTCTTTATGGGTATAAGTTCAAGGCTAAAATATATATTGTTCACTACAAACATTATAGGATGCAAATAAATATCTTGTTTCTAAAGCATTTATTAAGCTAACGTGTGCATTTCAGCTAATGTAAAAAAAGATATATTATTCTTCAATTTACAGTGAGAAAAATTATTTTAAAAGACTTGATATAACTTTTAATTTTGCCCACTTGACAAATACCACTTTTCACAAACATGTCTTGTTAACATCATAGCAACAGATATTAATAGTCCTGGGTTAACATAATGGATTTCATTCATACAGTGATTATTTTGGTGTAGGAAGAAAAACTTATACCTTACCATTCGACCCCCTTGGAACTTTAAGTCTTCCTCTTTAAAACTGAAACATTTATACTCAATTTTTAAACACTTATATAAGTTTATCTACAAAAATTAAAGGACAATAAAAATCTCTTCTAGTTGAAAAGGCTTAATCCTTTTTTTTTAATATGCAATATATGATATTTAAACATAACTGAAAGGCTAATAGTTGAAGAGCTTATTTTAAGTTATCTAAGCGAACGTTCATTCTTAAATGTTGTTCAAAGGCCTACCAACCAAAATTAACATTCCTTTCCTTTTTTGTCTTTTTTTTCATGACAGACCAATATATATGTATAGCCTTTCTGACTACCATCTGTTCTGGCAATTCACATTTCCATGCTACATTTTCAATGTTTCTGTTAATTTGTTGAAAAAAAATCATAATCAACAATACATCACACCATTTTCCCAACTATGTAACACAGACAAATAACAACAATTCATTGGTGTTAATCTAGACAGGATATTGATTACATCAAATGAGAGATCAGCTTAACTGGAGACAACAAGAGCACGTCTGAAGCAACTGAAAGTATTTCAGAATATAAAGTCAGATTCACAATACAACCTAAAAACTTTCTGTATGCACATTTTACATATTGGATTCTTCCTAAAGGAAGAGCAATTTCCTCTGAAAGAATTGGAGAAACAATATCACTGTTTTGTGAATTACCTCTACATACTCTGTTCAAGGGCAAGAATAAGAAAATGGGAAACATAACTGCTAATACTTCAATACTCACAACAGAGAACAAAATTTGTTGGTATTTGTTCTTCATTAATCCTAGAACATGATTTTCTCATTTCCACACTGAAAACTTATCAATTATTTGCACAGTCATAAGTAATTTTCTAGAAAGATGCAAGGTAGTTATTAAATCACGATAAAAAAACAGGGAGGTTTTATAAATTTGTACATTTTTTTGTATTACAAGTATAAGGTAAAAAAGTATTTTTTCTCTGAAAAACACTTTCTCATCTACATTAATGATTACTGATATGAAAATAATTAAAGTTTGCAGATGACATTAAGTTCTTGGTATTTCTAGCTCTACTGAGGATGTTGAGATACTGAAGAATGATCTTGATCAATTAGTGAGTTAGACAAATATATTGTAAATAACCTTTAACTATACTAAGTGCAAGATAAATTTGGTTTATCACAACTTGGATCACACACATTTAATATAGATGAGAACACAACAGTATGACTAAAAAATATAATATTGGCATAATGGTGGGTAAGTCACGATATGCATATCATGCCTTCAAAGCAGTTCTCTGTTACTGATAACAAAATTAACAGAATTTTAGGGTATATTTATAGACATGCTGATTACAAATAAAAAAAATTATTATCTTTTTACACAAATCACGAGTTAGTTATTGCTTAGTATACCATATACAATTCTGTTTTATCAGCAATAGTTCACAGGAGAGCTACTGGGATGATTCTGGAAATGGATCACTTTATGGGATTAAATCTTATTTTTCTCTTGATAAAATAAGAGTAAGTGATGAAGTTTAAAATATCATCTGGGAGATCATAAGGATAAAGGTCCGATATATTTATGCTATATTCTGAAAACAAGAGGACACAAGTTTAAGATATGAAAAAGACAGGCTAGATTCCAATTAAGTTCTATTTTCCTAATAGGATGACAGGGTTATAGAAACCAGTTGCCATCAGCAGGAGTCCAACACTTTCCAAGAACTTAAAAAGGGAATTGCTTATTCACTGAAAAACAAATGTAAGTTTGAGTTTACTTTTTCAAAAAAGTAGGTGTACAGCTACAGCCTTGAAGAACCAGATGGTCCCTTGTTGATGAAATGTTAATTTCCATAATGATTCTAAAATGCTAAATCAAATTAACTAGTTCATCAATAATTTACAATGCATAAGCAATCTTTATAAAAATTCACAAATTATCATCCTTCATATTTTCAAACAAAAACATCAATTGTAACTTCTATAAGTAACACGAGTTATAAAACATTGAACTGCATTTCACAAATGTGAAATTCTCTTAATATCCTAACAATAATATATGTGGTTTTCTCATCACTCAAAAAATTCACCCTTAATATTAGGATATTCATCTTTTATCATAAAATCCTTAGTCACATTTTTATTGTAAAACATTGTATGCAGATACAAATACCCACCTATTGGTGGCTTACTGTTTTGTTTTTGCCTAGTCAATGTTATCTATGCAAGACCATAAGGCTCCTTCTTTTCAGAAAGATTACAAAGTATTAAAATTTGAACTTGGAGTAAAAAATAATACTTTCGTTTTCAATTTCAGTCACAGACTATTTAAAATTACGTTTTTTTTTCATGCACATTAAAAACAGTGATTTTTACACTTATATACCCATGAAACATAAAAAGTTGTCTAGTAATAGTACTAGTATTAGTACAATGATTTGGATTCAATTATACCAAATGAGATTAACTTCCATTTTAACATTTGGATATATAATAAATGTTAGCCTTATAGTTATACGGGTATAGTTATTGTTACGGCCTAAGCTGAAGAAATGCTAAAAAAATTTTAAATATGCTATTTCAACGTTACTATTAGTTTCGTATTTGAAAATCTACAGACTACAAAACTTTTATTTAGAAAAAGCCAAACTGGACTGCCAATTAATTACAAAAGTTTTATTTTCTAAAGGAGAATCGTTCAAACTTTCTAAATATGACCAAAACTATCCAGTACGCGCTGTAACTCCTACTTCCCTGTTCCCGTTTCATAGCAATTGCTGTTATAGCATCACAAAATGACAAATCACAAGCATATAAATATCCCATGACAGACTAGATTACGACTTCGGCGTTCTATCACTATTGGCCGCTATGTGTTGTTCTGGCGCCATCTTGCAGCGGTCATTGTTCTTAGTTGCGACCCAGTTACTTTATTTGTTTGTCGTTAAGCGCAATGCCAACACAATAAGCAATTTCTGTGTTCCTACCAAAAGTATCGAAACCTGGTTTTTAGCGTTAAAGCCTTTCAGACATAATTCAACGTAAAGTCAATAAACTACTTTATCAAACGATAATATAAAATAAATTTACACGTATAATTGAAAACTTTTTTTTTCTAGCCTAATTCCATTGTAACACGGTATTTAGTGCCTGACAGAAGATGTCTGCTCGAATTCGAAATGTCACGTAAAATTTACTGAAAAGTTTTCATTTAGACGCGTAAATTTATTATGTGGTATCATCTATCCAAGTTTTTCTTCTCACATCTTGCGGAATAACACTCATCCAAAAACGACTTTATTTCCTCTTTTAACGCTTCTACGAACTTGAAGTTAAACACTTATACAGTATCTTAACGTACTGTAGGCCTAAGGCATAAATATAAAATAAATCAACTTAAAATCATAAATAATATTGAACGTTAAACTGGTACACAATTCAAAACATTTT